TCCAACAACTGCTGTAGTCTCTCTTCTTTTTCCTCCAACAACTGCTGTAGTCTCTCTTCTTTTTCCTCCAACAACTGCTGTAGTCTCTCTTCTTTTTCTTCCAACAACTTTTGTAATCTCTCTTGTTTTTTTGCTGTTCGAGCTGCCACTGTTGCAGGTTTTCTTGCCACTGCTGTTGTCTCTCTTCCTGTTTCTTTTCTTTTTCCTCCAATAACTGCTGTAATCTCTCTTCTTCTTTTTTCTTTTTCCTCCAACCACTGCTGTAGTCTTTCTTCTTGTTTCTTTTCTTTTCACTCCAAAAACTGCTGTAATCTCTCGTTTATTTTGCTGTTCGAGCTGCTTCTGTTGTCTCTATTCTTGTTTCTTTTCTTTTTCCTCCAACAACTGCTGTAATCTCTCTTGTGTCTTTTCTCTTTCTTCTTGTTTTTTTTCTCATTCTTGTATTGCTGCCATCAAATCTACTAAGCTGTAGTTTGATTTGCCACTTCTCGTTTCCATCTTCTTTTTCCATCCCACTTCTGACACCAATTTGTTACGTATCTGCTTGTTTTATTAATTTCCGGTATCAATTCTTTTCGAGAAACTTCACCAATACAAGTCCTTTCTTGGTTAAACCAGTTTATTCTTCCTCGATACAAACTTTTAGCACACAGTAATTTCACAATCAACACACTGTACTTCCCTTTAAACTTAACTACTTTTATAATACACGCTATTCATCACAGCAATTCAAAATCTCGATAACTTCACACACTAGCTCGAAACATTTTGGCAAATGATCCGGAACTATCTTCAGCCATCCGGCAGGCTTATATACTATAAAAAAAAAAAAAAAAGGGCGTCTCGAACATATTCCTTTAAAGACATTATTGTTATGTATAGATTATGAATACTTTAGTGATCTAGAAAACTGCCACATTTTATGTAAGCTATATGTCCCCACTTTAAGGTATTGTTTCACAAACATTAGACATTCCAGTTAAACAGAGACAACAGCTATATATTACATATAACTTTTATAAGCTCCCAGATAAAATTCTTGTTCAAAAGATTACAGATATTCCACCGATCCAGGAGATGGCAACTATATATTTTATATGAACTGTGTACATGCGCCTATAAAAACATTAGTTTCATAAACGTTAAAAATACCCCTGCGATACAGAAGACAATGGCTACACGTTTTATATAAACCGTATACATTTACCCATAAAAACATTAGTTTCAGAAACATTACACACACACTCTTAGATGACAACAGCAATATACTATATATAAACTGTATACATTTACCCATAGAAACATCAGTTTCAGAAACATTATACACACTCCAAGAGGACAATTTCATATAAACTGTATACAAGTTCCCACAAAAACGTTAGTTTCACAAATGTTACAGACACTCCAGTGATCCAGATGAGAACAGCTACACGTTTTATATAAACTGTATACATGTTCCTAGATAAATTGCTTGTTTCACAAACATCACAGATATTCCACTGATTCAAAAGACAAATATACATTTTATATATACTGTATACGTATTCCCACAGAAAAACGATTGTTTTACAAATATTATAGATAAATCAGTGTTCCAGAAGACAACTATACATTTTATATATACTGTATACATATTCCCACAGAAAAATGATTGTTTCACAAATGTTACAGATACTCCAATCAAGAAGTATACACACAGTAACTATACGAATATATTACAAATGATCTTCTGTCAATATTTCTACCACTGAGTTATTTCTGTAATTTAAAACATTTAATCTAATAATAATGTTACATTTTTAATTACATGTGGTAAAGGGTATGGCTTATATTTTACAGAAACAAACAAACTTGTATTATGTTATTACTTTTTATTGGTAATAGCAAAGAAGATTGCTGATACATAGACATCATATCTTTCACCATATACATTTTGGTATTTAAAAGAAACTGGTTTGGTTTATACATTAATCATTGTGAAACAATACTATTGATATACATTTAATAAGCTATTTGTTTCATGGTTAGAGATAATTATTCCAGTTAAATAAATAATTGAAATATACTACAATTCATGAATTCCTGTATAAATATTCTCACTCCAATTAGATAATCATTATTAGAAAAAAGGTATTAACCAATTTATTAAATTCCCCAAAGTAACAGCATTCTTTGCAGTTTTAATTTTACCTAGTAAGACTAACATAGTTTGTTTTTCTATCTTTGAAGCTGTATTACATAATAAAGACTCCAAATAAATAATGGCATAAATTTAACTACATGGTATCATATTAACCACATATAAATGAACATTATACATTGAATTCTGATATTTGGTATTGTACAACCTGAAATAATTAATATTAGAAATGTCATCATGAATTTGGGATGCTTTATTTTAGAATTAAAAACAAATTATTAAAGCCAAAGTTGGAAAAATGTGATCATTCTATAAAACTGGAAAACATTAGGTATTCATTGTTTCAGTTACTGAGTGTCATTGTTTTAATGAAAAACTTCCTGGAAATTGACAACTTAATTTTGAGGAAAATCAAATTTATTAAATTTGAAAGCCTGTGAACTTTAGGTGTGTGAAAAGCCTGTACAGATATTCTGAATTCTAGGTATCTGAAAAGCAGGTACAAACACAAAATTCCAAGTGATTTTTCAGATGTCAATTCTAGAACTTCTTAACATTCTATATAACAAAAACAATGCAGTCACGATGATGACAGATATAAGATACAAGAAGCAAAGCTTGATTTTCCTCAAAGTTCTTGACACAAAATCACTGGCTTAGTACAGTTATAAAGTTGCACCTCAAGTATGAATACAGTTGACAAGAAAATGGTTTTCAGAAATTACTTTATTTTCAACCAATAAAATATGTCCATAAAGTCTGAAGAAATGCAATACCATTACACTGAGTGTCTTGTAATACTAAAAAGAAATGTTCTAACTAACACATCTTTTTGTTAAACTGGAACTCAAAGGTTTTTGACTCTGTGTCTATGTTATTTCTTCATACTGATTTTATTATGAAAGCAACTTTCCATACATAAGTTATAGGAGTCAGTTATATCAGACAAAAAATATTTATAGCACTCTGCACAAAGTTCATGTTCGAGACCAAATATATGAATAATAGTAAAACTGTGCATATGTGAAAAGATAATGTTGATAAAATAATGGAATAAAATCATTTCAGTTCCAGATTAAAGACATCCAACAAAAATGCAAACTGTGCAGTACTGCAAAACAAACAAGTTAGTGTTAATTCAATAAATTGTTTTCAAAGAAAAAACTTGAAGAATGGCATTTACAGTAAATGGTTTTTTGAAATAAAGAAAATAATGTTACTTAATTTTCAGCTTTAGTTTGATAACCTCAGTCAGTAACAGACACATTACGGTCTTAACTCCAGTTATGTGAGTACAAGTGTTTACTTTTTCTTAACATTGCTGCAGCACCTCTTGTTACTGTCACCAATATCATGTAAAACAGATTAAAAATAAATTGATGCAAATTTTATTCCGAACTATCTCAGTAAGTGTGCAATAACAATAAAGTGTAATGAAAGGAAATCTTTATTAACATTAAAGAGAAAATTATGTATTTGGGTCAACAATAACTTTTAGTTCATAATACAAAAAACTGAATTTGTGGAAACTCTTCATTAACGGTTTTTTGCACTCCCAATAATACGAAGAATGTGCAAAAACAGGTTGATGATATCCAAATACAAATCAATAGTTGCAAGTATATAATCTTCTGGGGACAAACGGTGCATGATCATGTGGCTGTCATATATGATGAAGAATGAAAACAATACAGCTCCACCAACAGACAATAGAAGCTCTAACTCAGTACTTCCAACGAAAATCTATATAAATTAAAGTTAAAACTGATTAAAAGAAATAAATTAGCACTATTCTTTAATCATTATTCTACAATAATTATGAGTAACAGGCAAACCACAAAAAAAATCAAGCAACAGAAACCACAGATTATAGATAAAACTGAGGATTATTATACAGATTCTTAGCACATAACATTTTGCACTATTTCACTAGGAATGCCAACAATCCTTTTAGATGGTAAACTTACTAATAAAAAGTCTCTTCCCATTTTAAAATACAGTTTGTTGTTATTAAAACAACCAGTGTTAGCTACCCTACAAGTTGTTAACTTAACAAATATCAGCTGTCATACTAGTTGCGAAACTAAACAAATCAACTCTCCTTCTGGTTGATAAACTAACCAGTATCAGCTATCTGTCTAGTTGACATAATAAACAGTATCACCTATACTTCTATTTGATAAACAAACCAGTATCAGCTTCCGTTCTAGTTGATAAAAAAACCAGTATCAGCAATCCTTCTAGTTGATAAAAAAACCAGTATCAGCAATCCTTCTAGTTGTTAAACTAATCAGTATCAGCTGTTCATCTAGTTGATAAAGTAAATAATATCACCTATACTTCTAGTTGATAAACTAACCAGTATTAACTGTCATTCTAGTTGATAACATAAATAGTACCACCTATACTTCTAACTAATAAACTAACCAGTATCAACTGTCCTTCTATTTGATAAACCAATATCAACTGTCCTTCTGGTTGGTAAACTAATCAGTATCAGCTGTCCTTCTAACTGGTAAACTAATAAGTATCAGCTATCCTTCTAGTTGATAAAATAAATAGTAATCACCGATACTTCTAGATGATAAACTAACCAGTATCAGCTGTCCTTCTAGTTGATAAAACTAACCAATATCAGTTGTCCTTCCAGTTGATAAAACTAACCAGTATCAGCTGTCCTTCTGGTTGTTAAACAGTATCAGCTGTCCTTCTAGTTGATAAAATAAATAGTATAACCTATACTTCTAGTTGATAAACTAACCAGTATGAGTTGCCCTTCTAGTTGATAAACTAACCAGTATCTGCTGCCATTCTAATTGTTAAACAGTATCAGTTGTACTTGTATGTGATAAACTAAGCAGCATCACCTGTCTTTCTGGTCGATAAACTAACCAGTATCAGCTGTCCTTCTGGTTGATAAACTAACCAGTATCAGCTGCCCTTCTAATTGATAAACTAGCCAGTATGAGCTGCCCTTCTAATTGATAAACTAACCAGTATCAGCTGCCCTTCTGGTTGATAAACTAACCAGTATCAACTGCCCTTCTGGTTGATAAACTAACCAGTATCAGCTGCCCTTCTGGTTGATAAACTAACCAGTATCAGCTGTCCTTTTGGTTGACAAACTAACCAGTATCAACTGCCCTTCTGGTTGATAAACTAACCAGTATCAGCTGTTCTTCTGGTTGATAAAGAAACCAGTATCAACTATCTTTCAAGTTTATAACTAATCAGTAACAATTATCTTTCTAGTTCATAACTAATCAGTATCAATTATTTTTCTAGTTCATAACTAATCAGTATCAATTATTTTTCTAGTTCATAACTAATCAGTATCAATTATTTTTCTAGTTCATAACTAATCAGTATCAATTATTTTTCTAGTTCATAACTAATCAGTAACAATTATATTTCTAGAAAAGGGTATACAATTTTTTAACAGTTTTTGCAATTTTAGGTTCTGAAGTTTTAATAAGGTGCCTCTGACCTGAAAAAGTGCTCTAAACAAGAAAGCACAGGATTGAATGCAGTGGTTTGAATTTTGAAAATAAAAGGCATCACAAGTGACATGAAATAATTAATAACCTGATATGTAAAGTAACAAAATGTCATGCATATACAGAAATTTTAAATAAAATTATTGCAATGCACCACATCACCTGATATTTTCTAAACTAATCAGTAGTACAGATAATTTTGTTGGGTGAAAAGCTAACAGGTATAAAAAATACCATTGTAAGCAGTAATCTAGCCAGTTTCATTTATCCGTTACATATGAAAATTAACTAGTTTAAAGTATCTATGCAAACAGAATATTCACACTTGTTAGATTACTAAGTTTCAATTACTCTAAGTAAAAAAAAACAACTAATGTAAACAATCCTTCAAAGCAGTAGTTCAATCAGTTTTAACTGCCTTTTATTAGGAAATCAACTAATGTAAACAATCCTTCTAAGTTGTAATTCAATCAGTTTTAACTGCCCTTTATTAGGAAATCAACTAATGTAAACAATCCTTCTAAGTTGTAATTCAATCAGTTTTAACTGCCCTTTATTAGGAAATCAACTAATGTAAACAATCCTTCTAAGT